AAATAAAAATGGGGGGTCGCGACCCAAAAAGGTTGAAAACCACTGGTCTAGATCATACGATTGTGCTGAGATATAATATATCCAACATAAATTGATATTTTATATAATACATCATATACTAAGATTAAATTGACAAACACAAGGGGTTGTACTATTAATCAAACTTATACGCAGTTGTATTTTGTTGGCAATAACTTAATTAATATTTTAAAACAATGTTCCGTGTAAATATGTAAATAAATTACTTTTTTCGCAATAATATCATCAAATATAGGTACTTAGTAATATATCATAGACTGACTCTGACTGACCGTCTTCGCCCAGAGTCATTTTCCGTATACAATGATATTATAGGTACCTATCAAATTTAACACCATCCATTACAGTGACCTACTTGTTACCTATACATTGTACCTATTGTACAGCAGAGCGACACCCACTTGCCCGCCTTATTTCAATTTTAACATAATATTAAATATTCTTATACATGCAGGGGATTGGAAGCGGCGATTTATTAAGGGGTTGTGTATAGGCAATTTCATCATTTATTCGTGTGTGTGTATGTGTTAGTAGTAAATTATCATTAGTGTGTGTGAATTCGTTCGGGATTGCTCGTACAACGTCGGTATTTGTCGTGGCTATGGTAAACGATCGCTGCGCACCGTGTTCTTATCTACGCACGCTGTATGTATGTTATTCTTATAATTGTTATAATATATACATAGTGAATTATTCGTTACATTATTTATTTTTGTATACTCACGTAATATTATTATTCAACAGCCACGGGCCGAAGATGTGTACTATTGACAAACGATATACCTAAAGCAGCAAGAAACCGTAAATACGCCGCGTTACGAAAAATATTTTAGTTATTTTGGCGTACCTAACTCAAACAATATTTATAACAATACCTTTTGAGTGTACCTAGGAAATTTTTTAATTTTTTACTCTTAACATTTTTTATCGACGTTAGCAAAAAAAAAAAAATTAAAAAACCCTAAAATTTATTATGCTTATAAATAGCTCAAAAAAAGTTGAAATATTTTGAAAATTTGACGGTGTATTGAAATTTCAAATAAAATATATGGTGAAAAAAAAAATTGCTATTATATTTTATTACCTATTCATTCGTACACGGCACATAGCCATTTGTCGATCATTATTGTCGATCATTATTGTCGATCATTATTTTCGATCAACAACGCGACGACATTTACGTGATAAATTTTGATATCTTGCAGAGTTATCTAATGTCAATATTTATTTTAGTCAAAAGAGGAATACTTCTTATAAAAATTATATCGCTATTCGCTACAATAAAGAAATATATTTGTCAATTTTAATAAGTTTACGTAAGTAATATGTATATTTATAATTCACAATTGAATATTCAAATTGAATATGATGGAGAAATTATTTCTGATACCATGTGGTTGAGGTAGAATTCTGACAAAGGTATTTCCATTTTACCTGTCCAAAATATTTCGTCTCGTTCAATTATATCAACCAACATTCCTAAAAAAAATTGTTTCAATGATAAGATGTTTATAATACATTTATCAATTTAAAAATATATATATTTTAAAGTATTATTGTATATGTTTACCTTTAGGTGTCCATACTACAAAATAACAAAATTTCCTTCGCGTTATGTGTAGTTGACCCTGCACTTGAAAATAATAATCATGACTTTTTTTTTTTAAATGTTGCCACTTGGCTTAACACATGGAAGTTTTTTGTATAGGTAATTACTAATTAATTATAAATATGCCTATACCTACTATAATTATTATGTGTACCTACCTACTGAAAAAAAAATGTATTTTTTTACTCGTATGTATACTTAGGTATTATAACTACCTACGTAAAAACCATTCTGATTATGAGTGTAGGCGTGTTACAAAGTATGCATTGATATAGATTTGCATCGTGTATTTTTGACAAATACACCTATATTGCTAAATAAATTTCGCTGCAAACGAATTGCGTCCCAAGATCCCTTTTTGATACGAATCGCGTCCCGATAATATTTAACAACTATACTAATTGCGTCCGATATAAATACATTATTTAATATTATATTGTTAAAGGTAGGTTAAAAATATTGTTTTTTATCGTTTCGTAATTATATACATCAAAAATATTGTTTTCGTCGTTAGATATAAAAATAATAATTAATAAAATTAATAATGATAAAAAAAATTTCAAAAAATATAAGTTACATGTATTTTTGAAACACTTCCAACGTTGTATATCATTTTTCAATAGTTTATGAAAACAAAATTTAAAATCGTTTATAAAAATCAATGTTTTATTTTTTTCACTTATCATAACGTCACTTACAATTAAACTCATATTTTTAAATAGAAATTGAACAGCTCACAATTGTCGACGAAACGGAATCGATAGACATACTAACCGATTACATGTATTTCCGTTATGTAATAGCATTACAATCCGGTCTACACGGCTATAATATATCAAATTCCAATGGCATACGTTGCAATAAATTGCGAATTATGAAAAATAAAAAGGAATGTCTTTTTATCGGCTATATTCTTATAGCAGTAGGTACCCTACTAATAGTAGGCTACTATAAGTATTAAGTACTTACAATCTATTAAATTAAACCTATATAATTGCTAGTTCTTAAGTTATTCGGGTAATCGGGTCTCACTGTCAAAAATGATTCTAGGCCCATTGCCAGATTTTTATCTAAGATATTCTAAAGATGAAAATATATTTTATAACTCATAGACTATAGTGTAGCCGCAGATCCGGAATAAATATATTTATAGGCTAGCTATCTGGAAAATGACGGAGGACCGCTGTAAATATGTGTCGGTTTTAAGCGTAAGCATGGACAGTTTCGGATAATTAATTTAACTCAGTGCCAAGTGTATGTTAGTTTTGTAATATTTGATTAAAAATAGATCTTTTAGGAACGGTTAAAATCCTAAGACTCGGTGTGCCGATACCTTCCCTATCCGGTATCGAGTTAAGGAGAATCCACTACCTATGAATTTGTGAATTTACAATAAGGGGCCCCAGCATAATATTATCATGTCTTAAGGAGTAATATTTAGGCAATTCACATAACAGAAACTTTTGAGCTATATTTATGCGTTAGTAAATGAACATTAGTGTGTGTTTATGAAAATCGCTGTAATGCCGCGTCGGGTAATTGTCGCACACGCACGCACATTACTTCGCGAAAGATTAAATATATTATTTGCATAACTATACAAATTACTATAAAAGCGGTAGTCAATTGTTCGATTGTTATTTTGAAAAAATTGTTGCATTTATAAGCTTTTACACTATGCTCTATAGGAATCACTTTTTTAAATTTAAAATCAGATGTGCCCAACTGGCAATAAATACAAATGTAATGAAATGTATTTCATGGGATTTTTGAAACAAAAACCTTAATTTAGGTCTTTAAAATTTAAAATCGACTTCTTAAAGGCTTAGATATTTATACATGTATAAAAATTAAAGTTTGTGTAATTTACCACCGCTTAAGGTTTATTAATAGCCCAAAATGTATGCAAAATACGTGCTCTGCGAATTGCGATCCACTTAAAGACGTAAACAATTATAAGTTATACAAATATTTAAGTTGTATAAGTTAATACTGCGTTATAGGTACAAGGTAGGTACATATATTTTTATTCAATGCCTACACCTATGTGAAATATATAGGTAATAAATATGTTAAATTTTTTGAACGCAAATATAGCTTTGTTTTTTAATTAGGTTATTGTGTCTAATTTGAGTAATACATAGTGAGTAATATTAATAATGATCTTCATATTGCTTATCTATATAGTTATGAATCGTTCATTTCTAGGATTTATATAATTGAACCAAAACAGTCTTCACGAACGACTTTGGTGGCATAAAACTTCTCAAAAACCAGTTTCAAGACTTCAGGGAAACGACTAATGTAAAATCTTTAACTCTGTGGGATAGGATTCTGAAAGTTATTGTAAAATGTATTGCTGAGAAATAGTTTTGAACTAGATACTGGAAAAATTCATTATAAATGGTGGGTTATGGGTTATTTTTCATCCCACTATATGCCGCAACAGTTAAGACTTTTAGACGTCTCGCCACTGTCATTTGCGATCTTGACTTTCGATATTCTTACGAGCCACGTCACTCGAGATTTGTTTTTCTTTGAGGTCTTTGTTTGTGTATTAATTGTGATTGTGTCATATTTAATATTTTTTATACATTTGTATAGTGTATACTGTATACCTAAATTAATTTTATTTTAAATAATTAAAATTAAAATTGGACCCCAATGATGGGTACAAATATAATAATAATGGCAGTCGAAATGGAATCTCGTAAGTATGATTAATTATAAATACCTAGTTATTATGCCAACTTAAATTAATTGTAATGTGATTGTTAGCTTTACTAGTCAAATAATTTATTAACTGCATTACTTTACTTCTCAATACCGGTATTACCATTAATTATAGAATAATCAAAAATAATACTAATAATAATAATCAATGCGATTTTTATATAATACATAGTAACATTTATTACTGAATAAAAAAAAAAGTATTAACTATTAACTCATTTTTAATATATTGTTATCAATGTTGTTACTTGTGTTAACATATTTTACCATTAAGTTAGAATATAAATCCGCTGAAAGCGCTCTATGATCTTAGGTATTTGGTAAGAACATTCACGGCTCGCTTCTCTCCCGGTTTCGTAACTCAACCATACAGTATGGTCCATACTACCTAAAGCCGTCGCGGCAACCAAATAAATTGACCAGAACTGATTCAGAGCTGGATTATTTACCACTAGCGCTTGCGAAATGATGTGTGGCGAAATATAGAAACAGGATTTACGGTGCGCTAGTCGCCGCCGAGGTATTTGAGCTTAACGCCACTATAACATGCAAGCGCTAGTAGTGAATTTTCCAGCTGTTTTCGGTATACACTATTTCATGATTAGTCGGGCAGCACTATCATCTTAAATCGCGGAAGAAACCGAACAAAGCGTTCGGTTACATTTTTCATAGGTTATGTCACGTGAAGATTTCGTATAACCCGCGTTCACTGTTTTAGTGTTTTGTCTAGTACGACGGCCTACCTACGTTGGATTACCGCATTCAGTGGCAACAAACAAATGAAACGTTCTTGACAAAATTGTGATATTTAATTTCATATTCATTGGTCATAGATAAATTAATAAAACAAACCATTCGTCAAACTCACGGTCGTTTTTGTTACATGTAAGTATTTTTATTTGATCCACTGAATAAATATTGGCGGGAGTGAAATTGTTAGTCATTAGAATGTTAATTATGTATCAAAATACTCAAATGAAACAAAAAATGAATCAAACAATGCTGTATTATGATACTAATTGCCGTTCTTACAATAACAGGTTAAAGTTAACGGACACTTAACAGGCGATAATTTTTCCGATAGTAAAATTTGTTGTTGAGTTAACCTAAACTTAACAGGACATTGTTAGAATCAGCCTAAGATTGGCTTGTAATGTAAGAACATCTGCACTACCAAAAATAAATAAATATTGTCTTTTACTATATTCATGTACCTACACTTTGTATACAAACTTGTTCACTCCAAGGGCATCCGCACGGTGTGCGAGTAGGGATAGTTTTTTTTAGGTAAATTATCATCAAGCCCGCATAGCCAGACCAAATCACCAAGTGGGGCAAACAAAATTTTAGGTTGGACATTAGAAATAAAAACCCCTAAATAATACATATTATGCATATTTAATTCTGGTTTTAGTGTGGTTGGGCAATGCCCCTCCGTGGCTGTGGTACTGATTATCTTATAAAATATTATACATTTTTTCCTTCAAATATTTAATTTTATGATAAGGCTACTGCTAGCTGCTGGTTGCAGCTGTAAACATATTAATAATTTATATTAAATAATAGGAACCGTCTTTTTGCCATTATTTTTTTACTGTTTTCTTGTTTTTTATGACTAGTGATTAATTTCTACAGTAGTTTGTTTCTATAATTATTCTTGGCAACACTCTAGAGACATAAGTTCTTAATTCATTAAAATAATTTGGATCTTAATTTGTTTTTGTGTTAACATCTATTATATTTATTTCATAGAAGCTTGAAATATTTAATTTTATAAATAACCCAAAATCATCAAGTCAATGGTGTCATTTTATTTATAAAGAAATGCATTTTAAATTTTAACTTGCCTTTTAATTAATTAAAATGAGTGGTGTGTGATTAATTTTTAAGTATCTACATATTTTAATTCATAAATAATTTTTACATTCCCTACCTATATGAAAGAAAACACGCCACAAACAATACTTATTCACTAATCAGAATATCAGATACTAAAACAAAAATTTAAAAATTTAAAATGTTTGCCTCCCCCTTGACAAATTTCTGAGAGCACCCATGACAAGGCCCAAGGATATTAATGTTTTAGGTAGTTCTATTCAGTGGATACCTGTTCGTCTAACTGTATTATGATTGGATAAAGTGCATAATTCTTGTGTTGATCATAGTGAAGTCTTTCAACCTTTCTACCTATTCATTATTTTTAAACAAGATGCTTCATATTATTTTCCTTCTTCTAAATAGTATTACTTTACAAATTCATATTTAGGAGCTTAATATTTGATAATTGTTAACAATTTTCCATTTTTTATTTATTGAAGAAAAAATAAATATTTTTAATAATGAAAGTAATCGGTAACTAGAAAATAAACTTACCTTTAAATTGTATAATAGGTCGATTCACTCTTATATCAAAATTTACAGCTCACTGTTGAATCTGGTGAATGGAAATTTGCTATAAGCGACGTCCTCTTAACACATATATTGTTTGCTTTAAACTTTACTTTATAAACTTAATTTAACATTTAAGTATTAACCACGGAATATATTTCATTAGGTATATATTTACTGTTTAAAATGTTGCCTACATTCATTAATTTTACTGTAAACACAACAATGATCACTTACTTAACATAATAATAATATTTATTTCAATATTTGGATATTTTCAATGATCAACAAATGTAAATACAAATTATAACATAAAAATGACATAATAGATAAATTATGTTAATCCATAGGTAATTATAGGTAGTTAGTTAAATGATTACATTGAACATTATTTTCATAAATTAAATATGTTTTATTTACAACATTAAGAAATAATTAATTTATTGTTAATTTATAATTTAGTTACTGGTATTGATTAACAACATAAATAAAACAAATGTAGTTTCATACAACTAAGTTAGTAAATAAAACATGTTTAATTGTAAAAAAAAATCTATTTATTTAATTACAATACATCAAAATGATTATAAAATTAATAAAATTACTAAATATTGCTTTTGCATACCTATACTATAAAATTATTAACTTTCTGTTTTTAATTTTTTTTTCAGGTACCAAATTGGTATTTATAAATTCCATTGAAGAACGAATTCTAAGACACGAAAAAAATGTAAGTAGTTAATCCTTTTTAATGTTGTTGTAAGGTGTTCATAATCAATATTAAGCATTTTCATTTGAAATGTATCCCTTATTTCTACTTTAATAGTACAATATTTAATTAATGTCCAAATAAATACAATTATACATTAAATTTGTTTGATTTTAAACACATTAACATCTCAAACTTCCTGTTACTCTACATATCTTTTTAATCTTCTTATCTAGTCTCTTGGAATTGTATGGCACGGCGGCCCGCTGGTGACTTGTGTTTGTTTAAATTTGAAGCGTGTTTGCTTAAACTAACCACGTTGAACAAACACTTATCAAAAACCTCACTAAAGTTTTCATTAATCTTCCGATTGATTCCATTGTGAAATGAGCACTAAGAAATTATAAATTAACTGTTTTATATCATAGATAGAAGATAGATGGATTTACTTTAAATGATAAACAATAAGTATGATGCCTCGACTAAGTGAAATAGGGATTTATTTTTATATCCATAGATAGATACAGTTAGATAGATTGTAGAATTTGACTTCTGAGAACATTTCATATCTACATGCTGATCAAACACATAGTTAGACGGACAAAAAGTTATGGAAACCCACAGTTTACCGTGCTGTAAAATATGTATACGTATAGATATACAATTTGTACGTAAACAATTTATTTTTACAATTTCAACCCTTTTAAATCAAATTTTGAAAAATCCTTTCTTAGTGGAATTTGATATTATAATATTAATCCATCCTCAAAATTTCAATTTAATACTTAAATAGGTTTGGCTCTGCGTTAATTATTGCTAAAGTAACTTTCCTTTAAGTATAGAGAAGATATTATCATGTTATACTAATTGTCTATAACGTTTAATTTAAAATGTAAATAAATGGAATTCAATTTAAATTATTTGTGTATACCTTGTCATTAAAATTAACTAATGTTTTGAGAGTAAATTAATTGGTAATACTAATATGCAAATATATAGGTACTATTAAATGTTTTGAACATTTCCTCTTAAATCCTGAGTTTTCAGTAGAATGACATATTGATAACTGTTTTTTTTTTTGGTTTTGACTGTTTTGACACACTATTTGAACTAGATTTCTCTCTTTTATATGTCTTTAATTCAGTCATTAAACAAGAATGTACATTCCATTAAAATATTCAAGAGAATACTTTTATTTAAATTTAAATAAATACATTAAGATGCAGTAAAGTCAGTTATCATGTTACTATTCTACTACAGCATCTAATCCTTGTGGAAATATGATTGCAAAGTGCAGTAGAAAAATATAATAAATACATAATCTTACAAATTAAGACAACAAATATAATATTTATGTAAAATGTACTATGTAGTTAATATACAAAATTAAACAATTATAATAAAACCTATTAAATTTTGTAAAATTAACTACACAGTACACTTGACATAAATATTATACTTTGGTGTGTCTTATTTGTAGGATTTTGTGATTCTGATAAAATAGTCAATAAAATAAATAATATTAGAATGTCCTCAGAAATCAATGTGCATATTTTAATTTATAACAATTAGAAACAGTGGCTTCTGTTTTCTCCATAATTGTGTTTACTACAACATTACTGTGTATTTACATAAAACGTATTATCAATACAAACAGTAAGTGGCTGGACAGGATGTGGATGTTACAGGGAAAACTATTTTTTATTGAAAATGTTTTTCCAACAATGGCGGTGCTAACTGCCATCAGTCGACGGTTATGAGATATTGAAAATATGTTAAAAACGTATAAATGTACTTACCAAATTATAACAAACATTCAATTGTTTGCAGAAATATTGTGCCTTCTATCACTCAATATATCTTTCAATTTGGAAAATGTTTGTTCTACATCTACAGAAGTGATAGGACTCATTTTATAGCAAGCGATGATTGCAGGCTGTTGTTCAACATTAATATTTTTCATACCGTTTATGCAGTCGTTGTAATTATTTTATGAGAGCGTAACCTGTGTTTTTTTCCACTACAGAGTTAAATTTGTGAACCATAATTTGTCCTTTCTCATTATTTATTTTTTTAAGATTTTCTCCTATAGTTTCAAGTATTTCAATTTGTTTATTGAGGGATAAATTTCCCAATTTTTGGCATTTTAAAAATTTGTTTATACTTCTTTACTTAAATTATTTTTTATGAAACAATCACGACACCGACGTGAATTACACTAACCAATTCAAGAAACACTCAATCAAACAGAACTAAAGTGCTAATGGCTGGGGATTCCAAATTATTATCTAACCAGTAGTTGCTGTCATTTATTTTTACCACGAAACACTATTAAATTGATGTTATTCTAACAATATTATCAGCCTGTGTTCACTTTTTCCTTTTGTATAGTTGAAAACTGAAATATTATCTAGTTTAATTTTAAAAATGCAGAATATGCAATTTTATGCAGCGAACATCAAAATCGTGCAATTTAGAATAAAAAGTGTAAAACGTGCAATTTTGTCCAAAATAAAACTACGTTTAAATTAATCTACTTCTCATGATTCGGATTTATAATTTATTTTTATATGTTTTAAAGCAAAGGAAAAAAAGTTGCAATTGCACTAGAATTCGGTCTCTAGTTATTACACATTCAACTATTATATTTAATTACCTTGAAAATACCATAAATTTGATTAAGTAACAAAAATATACTATGCCATGTATTATTATTAATAGATTCATATCTATGTACACAAAAAGTCAAATTTTTTTTAGCAAGAACAATTACTATGCTTATTATCCTATCAAGAACCTTGTGATTTTTTTCAACTTCTTTATTATGAAAATTTTCCAGTATGACATCTATGTTTTTATTACTACAAGCTCTTAAATAACTTTCACTTGCAGTTTTATGTATTGCACTATTTTCATGCTTCTGAACTTTTAGATAAATGTTTTTAATTTTAACTACTACACCATTAACAAATGCATTTAATAAATTGACTGAAAATGCCATGCAAGTACTACAATATATTTTCTTAGTAAAAGCACAGTGTGAAATCCATCTTCTTTCAACAATATCACCATTTGTCATATTTCGAAAATAAATGTTTCTGGGATCGAACTTAACTTTGGAATTATTTGAAACAATTAGTTGAATAGGATGGTACTTTAAAAATGTTAATTTAGCTATTTGAAACAATTAGTTGAATAGGATGGTACTTTAAAAATGTTAATTTAGCTATTACGAGTATGCTGTCATTTTTATTTGGAGGTACAAATACAAAAGCATCAAAATGTGTTTCAAAATTACCTTTAATATTTTGATGTTCTATTCCAATGTCTACACATATTGATTCAGAATCAGAATCACCAATTGTATTTGTATACGTGTTTGACCTTGACAATGAGGGAAAGAGTGAAACAGGTTGTATAGGTTCTAAACAATTTTTTAATTCCTCATCAACTTTTTCTTTTCCAACTTCAATGATTTGTTCATTGTCTTCATTTATTGCTGCAGATGAACGCTGTATTGAATGAATTAATGCAATAGGTTCTACATTTGATATAGATGTCTCATTGAATATTTCTTTTTCTTCTATGTGATTTTCATAATTTAAGAACTCATCACGATCAACATTTTTAGAATTCGATGAGCACTACTGTATTAGAAAATACAATACTAACATATAGTACAGATGGATCAAAACACAATTTCTTTTGATTTTTGCCATTTGCAACTAATTTTAATAACTTGTATTCTTTCATTTTTCTATTTTGGCTGTATATAGTCTGTGGATAAGCTTCCAAATGTAAGTCCCTCTATATGAGTTCTTTATCAGGTTACTGCATTTTTATTTTAATAAGAATATAAAAAGATTACAGATATAAGAAATTAGTAACCCATATTACATATTTTATTTTAAAGCGGATTCAATATTTTTATTTTATTATTTTAACATGAAAACTACATTTAATAAAAAAGATAAAAATTTTTTTAATTTTGTTTTTAGTGAGGATGAGTAATATCCATGATGAGACTTGTAGAAACATGCTGGCTCAATTCCGGGTTAATGATTTGAAATTACTTTTAAGAGCTTTCGGACAAAGTATAGAAGGACGAAGAACTGAATTACGAAGACGGGCAATGGAATTAATAAGTTCCAAGCCGGCTGACCTTAACTATATAGCATATCTATCAAAAATATTTGATATATACCATTCTATGAATCAACTACAAAACCGACAACAAAGAACGTACCAACTACAACGATACCCTCAACAATCAGTGCAAGTGCCCCGTGCTAGATTACCACAGTTTCCGTCCAAAGTAGAAGGACTCGCACGTGGTTGCCCTACAGATGCAAATATTTTTCCTAGAAATACTGTGGCTAACAATCACATTCAGTATGCATCTGGTTATCAGCCAGTTAGACCCCAAACTGTAGTTCGACCGCAATTGCCCACAAATCAACAAAATACATCAAACCTTGTTTTGAATCCACCGTCTAGTGGAAACAGTAATGCTTCTACTACCATCCCATCTCCTCAAATTGTAGCCAATTACAAGTTCACAAAGCTACCATTTTATGAAGTTATTAAAGATGTAATCAAACCAACTCTTCTCGATGATACAAGTAGATGTATTTTATCAAAATTTCCTGAAGGTAGCAAAATATTTTTTATTATTATATTGTTAATTATATTTATAATATTTATTTTATTTCAGGTATGAGAGAACATGAATTCAAATATACTATGTCAATTGAAGATTTAGATTATATTGCATTGAACCGTGACATTTCCTATGGCAAATCTAATTACCTATTCAACTGTCAGATTCGAATTTGTCAGTTGGATCAAATTGTGAGTACTAAGGTAACTGATGAGTTGCCCAAAGGACTGATTATTAAAATCAATAGTACTGCTTGTCCATTGCCACCTTTTCTCCCGGCAAGACCAGGAAAAGAATCTAGACTAACTTCTGGACCTATCAATTGTGCTCAGATTTTACAGCTTAATCCAATTTCTCCAAACAGAATCACTATATATTGGATTCCTGATGGGAAAAAGTATGCCCTGGCAATGTATATTGTTAAACAAATAAGTGCAGATACTTTGATAAAAGAACTTCGCGTTAATAAAGTGAGGAGTTCAGAAGAGACAAAAAGTGATATCATTAAAAGGTTGACAGTTGTCGATCCAGATTTGGCATCTACATCTTTTAATTTTTCTTTGGTGTGTCAATTGAGTACAGTTAAAATGAAGCTACCGGCAAAATCTATCCATTGTAATCATTTACAGTGTTTTGATGCCGCTACATTCATTCTAATGAACGAGAAAAATCCCAAATGGATATGCCCAACGTGTCATGAATCTTGTTTGTATGATGAAATACGAATAGAAGGTTATTTTTTGGAAATTGTTGAAGAACTTGCACTTCGAGACGACATCAAGGAAATCAGCCTTTTGGATAATGGTTCATGGTTTATACCTGAAAAATGTAAAGACACCAAAAACAAGAATAGTACTATTGATGATACAGTTATTGAAATAGATGACTTTGAAGAATCCACAGAGTCGATAGAAGAACCTAGGCCAGGATGTTCAAAATGGCAGAAACATGGAAAATTAGAACAATCTATTTTCGATTTGTCAATAGATGAGGATGAATAACCACCAAAACAAAAATATTAGCCAGTTACTAAAGTTAAATTAAAACCACAAGTTCAAGTACAGCCACAACAACATAGTTTCAAGTATTTCAATTTGTTTTTTGAGGGATAAATTTCTCGAGAGAAAGAAAAAGAATGTTTTAAAAACATTTATTTTATGCACTCAATACAATTGTTCTATTCTTAATGCAGCTATGGACCAGTCTTTTCAATATGTATTTTATACTGTTAGCTCAATGTAAGTATTTAACATTTTAAATTTGTCAATATGTAGTATGTATTTTTGTATTCTATCAATATCTAATGGTTGTGTAAACACAAGGTTAATGATTTTTTTTGTATTACTATTCATTTTTTCTATAAACTCAAATACTAATATTCAATTTAATTACAGACTGTTACATAAGCAGTCATTATAGTCTATAAGTTTCAGAAATATAGTTTTATAAATGTTAGTAATGCAGAACAATGTTGATGTTAAACCAATATTTTGAAATTAATGTCACTAAATACATCGATTTTTGATATTGATGCAATCTCGATATAAATGTATTAGATTTACATATCTTATATTTTGACAGCAAATTTAACAATTTAGATATCACCAACTATTGAGTAAATGTCTATAAGTAGCCAAATATTATTTAATATCATTTATGTTCATTATTTTTCTATTTATCATATTTTATTTTTTACTATGTAAGTAATAACTATAATATAAAATAATACATTTTTAAAACATTTTATTAAGAGTACAAAAAATCGGCTATTTATGTATAAAGATATGATACCCAAAAATATATTGAGCTGCATCACTTATAGATGTGGCTAGACAAAGTCACATTTTAATTATTATGTTCATGTAATTTTTTTAATTGAACCATTTAACTAATATTAATATGTATATAAGTAAAAGTTAAGGATCAATACATATCATTTCAGTACACCTATAGAAAAAATATTATTCTTTGTAAGCATTTACTTAAAAAGTTATTAAAATACAATAATCAATTTTTATCCACAAATTGAGTATATTCCTTATGAGTTATAATTTAGTTCAGGACTACTCGCTCTATTTTGGTAGGCTTTTACAGGGTGGTGTTAGAGGCCCCCTCATATGTATAATTAATTATAATGTAAGTGTATTTGGCAAATAAATGATACTGAACCGGGTGGCAGAATTGTGCTAAACAATTCCCACCCGTTTCCGGTTTTTTGAACAGAAAAAAAAGAACTATTTGCTCTAAAAGTCTTTAAAATAAATAATTAAAATTAAAAAAAATTAGAAGAAAAAACATTTTTTGTTAAAAAAAAAATACATATTTTAAAAGTGTTATGATGATAAATGATTTAAAATTAGTAGCTATTGATAATTTATTGATTTTAACTGCTTAACCTAATTTAACATATTGATTAATGCAGCTAATATTTGAAGTTGTAAGTCATTTTAAAAAACAAAATTAAACAACTAAACTAAAAAAAATTATTTTGATAATTACTAGTTACTAATTACTAGGCAGCGTTCATCAGATTAACTCGGATACAAAATAATGATTGCCGGGATACATAAAAACATACTAAATGACAATTCTCCATACTTCATGGTTTCTATTTGCATAGTTGTCAAATGTTAATCGACTCATACAATTTTAAGTAATAATAATTTATTTTGGGAAATTTTTTTCATTTGAATTAAGACTTAAAATTGTCAAGGGGTTTTCTTATTCAAAGTATGACGTAGTTACAACACTATAATATTTTAAACTTAAAAAATTGTTTTCTCAAGCTTACATAAAATATTAAGCACCTCAAAAATACAATAAATATAAATAATATAAGACATAATAAACATATTTAATCATTATTGTGTAAATGTAGAAATAACTATTAATGATATTATTTCTAACAACGTTGATCACTTCAGCAAGATTGGTTCAAATAAAAATTATCGTATTTATGAATCTATTTTTCTAAATCCTATTGAGCTAATTAAAAAATCAAATGTAATTAAAAAAATAAAGATTTTTCCTCTGTTTATGAAAATGGTATAACTAATCTATTTATTTGAACCAATACCAGAAGAGTTTTCCTTCCAGTATTCTAAATACTTTCTATTGCCTGATTAAAAAAAAAGTTTTGTAAGTTGAAGAAATTCTACTAAATAATAAATTTCAAAATGAACTTTGTATGTATTTGATATTTTAACATGGTCATAAACATATTTTGATATACAATAAAACCTTTATACTACGGAATCACTTCAGACCTACACATTTTTCCATTTTGTAATATTTTAATTATTTATTAAACGTGAAATCTGGTTAACAGAAAAAAGGAATTCAATTTCAAACATACGAGTATATATATTCCAAAAATGCATATAACTGATATACTTTTAGTTGAATAATTCAATGCTTTTATTAAAATATTTCAAAATGTACGTGAGTATTTAAATTGTATTATTTATAAATTAATTAATCATTCTTGGAGTATTTTCATCAAAACCAGCTAAAAACAACATACCGTCACGACAAAGTTGTACTCGTTCAGTATGTCCCCCGTCTAGACAGCAAATAATAATCCTAGAAAAAAATTGTAAAGTTTTCAATAAAACCAATTAAGCCGGTATCATCATTTTTTTAGTTTGCACAAATTATTTATAGTTAAACATTAATATTAAAAATAAAAATTGTTTGATGGGACAATAGTGACTTTTTTTTAGGATCGTTTCACATGGACGAGTGTCGTACGCGCTCGTTTTTAACTTACGTTGATAAGAAGACGTTATATCCGAGTATGGTGTCTCCGTCTAACAAGTGCGTAATAATAGATCAAATTTTACGCTCGGCAGATTACGTTTAGTTCTGTTAGCTTAAAATTAGAGTAAACTGACTTCTTATGAAAATTGAAGGCAAGATTATTATCTAGGGCATCTCGTAGGCTTTTTATTACACTTTATTTTAAAGCGAGTTATGAGTATTTTAAGATGTAAAAACAATTTACAATTTTAAAATACTCATAACTCGTTTTAAAATAAAAATAAATTAAAAAGCTTTTAAGATGTCCTAGGAAATAATCTTACCTGTAATTTTTATACGAGGTCAATTCACCCTAATTTCTAAGCTAAGCTAAACGTGATGTGCTGAGCGAAAATTTGCCATGTTCCGCACTAGTGAGACGGAGACAACACATGCGGGTATAACATCCTTGTAAGTTAGATTCCGGCGAGGGAAATATGCCATCGACCGAGTTGCGCATATGAATCAAAGGGGTCTACATATTATGCCGTCTCCGTATTACAAATGTAAACCACAGAAAAAACTGTTTTGAGCAGGAAAAAATCGAGGAGGCTAGTCATAACTAAGAAATGAAATTTTCACCACATAAAAAGATGAATGTTGGCTGTGAAATATCGTTTCGATGTCGATGAACTACAAAAAAAGTTATTTAAGTATGAATAACACAAAATTAATGGGTTTTGAAACAATGAGAACTTTTTTCGTAAAAAATGATACTAAAAAAAATAAAAACGATATTTTGCAGATAATGTTCTGTACTATATTGTATATCAATTTGAAGTCTTAATTATAACTACAGCCTGAGTGGTTCTATGCAAAACAGTTTTTGCTGTGCTGTACATTTGTAAGAAATGCGGATGTCTTCCTCTTATTATATCTGTTCTCTTGATTTTTTTGAAAACCTGTCATTAATGTGTAAAGTAATCCAATAATTAGGACAGTCGTATCATACTCATATGACAACAATGCACTTTTACATAACTGTAATAATTCACTTATATAAAGCAAAACAGCAAAAATAGAATAATACAATTAATTATATTGTCTGTTAACACTATGTTTTTTGATTTTGAAAATTTGAAAATACACTTTCAAACATAAATAAAAATTAATGATCCTATAAAAACCAACGAAATAGTTTTTTTTTTGTCAGTATGGAGTTCTGAACGCTATATTATCCTATATTTATTGCTTATGAAACAAAATATTGAGTTGTATTCAAAAATATTCTTCAACACTAACAAATACACTATCTCTAATCTATCCATTGTTATGCACCAAAAACTCTTCTACTCTAGATTTTAGTATGAACCGTAAAGATATCTTAGTCCCATATTCATAATAAATAATTAAAATTTTAAGATAAATTCTCTTAAGTAATAGACAATAGACTCAATGATCACTATTAAAATGAGCAAAATATTGTATTTCAATGGTTTGAGTATTTAAGCAATGTGTTATGGTCTCCCAACACTTGAAAGTTTGGCAGCCATGCTCAAAAAAAAATCTTTAAGGAAACGAGTAGTTAAAATATAATACTTAAACAACTTATTTACAGACAATAAGACATACTTAGTTTTTTATTTGAATTTGCTTCATAATTTGCCTTGATTTTTTCATACTTCTTAAATCCATTTTAGAAGTTCCCAGAAACAAAAACACATCATAAAATTTGTCAGATTTTTCAGCCCATTTGATAGTATCCCTTGGTTTGATACATAGATCTGTGTTACTACTTGTGGGCTGAACATTTTTTTTTAATTTGAATTAAATGTTTAATATTTCAATAGTAAAATAAATAATAATAATTTTTTTAAATAAATGTACAATTTACCTTTATGAATAAACATTTTTTTTAAAAACGTGTTGGTAAGTGATGTAGATTGTTAACTTTAACAAATTTAAATCGATGTACAAGATCAAATAATGCACATAATGTTGGTTTTTTTGTTTTCTCTTGGTGAACTATTGACTGTATTATCATCACTATAGTATCAAGGGCTTTGACAAATCTCAAATGCATAAAGCGACAATAAATTGACCCCATATCTATTCGATTGTCATAAGCTATTAATAACTGAAAACCTAATGGTTTTAAGTTTTAAAAAAATGAATTAATGTTTTTACAATTCTGTATTGTTATAATAATTGAGGTTAAAATGAAATGAATACTTTTAAAGTTGTTTTCACCAATTCAACTGATGAGAATTGTTTTAGGTCTGTTATAGGAGTTGGAATTGGCTTCATAAAAAATAGATGACTATTACGGAAATGTTTAAGACTTGTAAAACTGCATAAGTATCAGTTGTCAATTTTTGATTATTAAATTTTGCACATACAGCCAATAGATACATTAAATACTCATAATTTTCGAGTTTCTTTTCTTTTTCTATCTAAAATTAAACAACAATAGTTAAAAACCAATATTATTTAATAACCACGAAAGACAACAAACCTTTAAGATTATTGGAACAATAGAATCAATTTCATTAGTTTTATTTTTTTCAATTATCTTTCTGATCATTATTATATCATTTAATTCATAAAGATTTTTTTCATTTCTCCAGAATGTTGTTTGGCGAATTGGATTTACATAAATTGAATTTTTATGACCCAAGTATATAAATCGACGTAATTTAATTTCTATTAATGAATAATTCATCTTGGTAAATAAAGTACTGCAAAACATACTATGTATCATATATCAACACATATTCACATAAAATATTAATGTATACTTATGCTATTTTATCTTAATATTCTTAAAAATAAATCAAATATTATAACTTTAATATATTATGATTCATCTGCAATGTGAAATATGTAATCTTATAAGGTACCTATTATGTATGATATATTAATTATTTTTG